TAAACCACTTGCAGCGCACAATAGATCTTTTCGGTCGGGGTGCATTTATAACCTATTATTTTATAATAATAATCAGCCACTTGCACAACCATCGTTTGCGCACAAGGCACAAGTATGCAGATAAAAAAGTTTGGCTATGTGCTTAGGCATGTGTGCGTGTATAGAATTTCATACAAAATTTGCGTTAAGCGTCTGTCCGGTAAGGGGAAAAATATGTAAAAGAAATCTAAAATGTTTTTGTTTTGGGTACTCTGAAAAATTAAAAAAAAATTTATTAATTTATTTGAAAATTTTAATAAAAATGATTTAAATTACATTTTTTTTCTTTCGTTTCGGTATTCATTTTTGCCTCCTGCTCTTGCCGACGGCTATTTTCCTCCTGCCGGCGGCGGTTTTCATCCTGCCGCCTGCGGTTTTCTTCCCGTCGTCGGCCACCTTCCTGGCGCCGCTGGTAGTTTCCTGGACGTCGGCGGTTACGTTGCTGCTGTTGACGCTGGGGTTGCTGAAGAAAGAGACAAAAAAATTTTATTTTAATATTGCATTTAATATAAATAATAATATAATATTATATATATATTTTAAATTATTTACATACATTTTTACCGCCAACCAGCAGTCCAATTAATACACCAGCTAGTATATCTTGATTCTGAAACGAAAGCATTAAAAATTTAATATTTATATTTTTAATATTTATTATTACTTATTTAAATTTAAATTACAAATTTTTAAATATATTTTATTAATTTAATTTTATAATACTTACCATTACTTTAATTTTCACAGACGCACACTACTTTACTGAACGAAAGATAAATGCAAACTGAATGTTGCATTTGCATTTTATTTTAGTTAACAAAAATAATTGCTTGAATATAGTCAAGCAATTTTAAATCTCATTAAATTGTACAGCAACTGAATATGTATATCTAATAATTATTGGGTGGAATTATTCAAAAACAATAATTAATATAATACAGAAGCACTGTACTATAATACCATAATGTAATGCATTATCTTGTGGGATAATAATAAAAAAAATTAGAAACTTATTTCTTTGGCGATTCGAACAAATTTGTTTTTGGTTTTTAAGTTTCATTTTACTCCAAATCTAGTATTGCTCTAGTTAAAATTTTTTCTTTAGGCTACTCTGGTCTTATTATTAGGATGCAAATAAAACTCAATTTATTTCATTTTTCACCCGACGTTTCGTTGGTTATTTTCCAACATCTTCAGGGGTATCTAAAATATTTTTTTTTATTTAATAATTATGATTTCAAAACACAATGTGAAATTATATCTATAATATAATTTGTGATATTGTATAAACAGAGAAACATGTACACAAAATAACTAACAACAACAATAATAACAAAACAATCAAAAGTAATAATTATCCATTCAGGATTTTAGAATTGTTAAATAATAGTAATTACCAATAGTTAGAATTGAAATTAAGTTAAATCACTTTTTGTAAATAAAAAATTAAAAGTTAGGAATAAATATTAAAAGTTTTATAAAATTATAGAATTATAGTCAACTGCTTCAAATTACCGCCACTTTCGATTTTGTTTATATTAGAGCAGCAATGTAATTAGAGCTTATATTCTCCGTATCTTCTTTGATGTTCATAGTTAAGTTAATTTTCTCTTGAATTCTTAAGCTTTCGAGAGTGTACCGTTTTTTCCAAGATTTCTCTTTGTCCAATATTACTACATTGTCGAAATCCGGTTTATGTTGTCTCTCGGTGCAATGCTGAGATAGAGCTGTATTGTTTTTGTTCTTGTTGATGTCCGACATATGCTCAGCTATTCTGGTGTTGAGTGATCTCTTTGTTGTACCAATATAAATCTCTTTGCAACTCCCTTCTTTATTTCCGTTGCAATTTATTTGATATACCACATTATTTTGTTGCAGCTTATTAATTTTGTTTTTGTTGTTAGAGAAAATTTTATGGATAGTTTGATTGGGTTTATAAGCACAAAAAATGTTGTCTTGTTTAAGATTTGTGGTCAAATTTCTATTATTAGATAGTTTCGGTACATAGGGTAACGAAAAATATTGTTTTGGAATTTGGTTATTGCTATTTTGAATATTTTTATTGTAACTTATGTTCTGTTGTTTGCTTAAATTGTTAATTAGTCTGTATGGATAATTATTATTCAATAGAGTCTTGTAAATTTTGTCAATATTTTGTTGTTTAAACATTTGGTCACTACTATCTAATACCTTTTTGATGAAATTCTTCACAGTACCTAGTTTTTGGCTCATAGGTTGTGAAGAGTGAAAATTGATAAGTCGTCCTGAAGATATGTCTTTACTGTACCAATTGAAAATTAAATTATTATCTCGTTTAATAATTTCAATGTCGAGATATGGGAGTTTATGGTCCAGTTCCTCTTCATATGTAAACTTGATTTTTGGGTGAAAATTATTTAATGTTGTCAGAATAATTTCCTTGTCAGATTTTTTGATAACCGCAAATATGTCATCAACATATTTGGTAATAAATTTAAAAGTTATGCCCATAGTCTTGAGTTCAGCTATGGCTTCGTCAAGTAGCTTATCAAGTACTATATCCGCGATAGTAGGAGATAATGGATTTCCCATAGGCATACCAACATGGAAATGATATCTCCTACTATCGCGGATATAGTACTTGATTAGCTACTTGACGAAGCCATAGCTGAACTCAAGACTATGGGCATAACTTTTAAATTTATTACCAAATATGTTGATGACATATTTGCGGTTATCAAAAAATCTGACAAGGAAATTATTCTGACAACATTAAATAATTTTCACCCAAAAATCAAGTTTACATATGAAGAGGAACTGGACCATAAACTCCCATATCTCGACATTGAAATTATTAAACGAGATAATAATTTAATTTTCAATTGGTACAGTAAAGATATATCTTCAGGACGACTTATCAATTTCACTCTTCACAGCCTATTAGCCAAAAACTAGGTACTGTGAAGAATTTCATCAAAAAGTTATTAGATAGTAGTGACCAAATGTTCAAACAACATAATATTGACAAAATTTTTAAGATTCTATTGAATAATAATTATCCATACAGACTAATTAACAATTTAATCAAACAACAGAACATAAGTTACAATAAAAATATTCAAAATAGCAATAACCAAATTCCAAAACAATATTTTTCGTTACCCTATGTACCGAAATTATCTAATAATAGAAATTTGACCACAAATCTTAAACAAGACAACATTTTTTGTGCTTATAAACCCAATCAAACTATCCGTAAAATTTTCTCTAACAACAAAAACAAAATTAATAAGCTGCAACAAAATAATGTGGTATATCAAATAAATTGCAACGGAAATAAAGAAGGGAGTTGCAAAGAGATTTATATTGGTACAACAAAGAGATCACTCAACACTAGAATAGCTGAGCATATGTCGGACATCAACAAGAACAAAAACAATACAGCTCTATCTCAGCATTGCACCGAGAGACAACATAAACCGGATTTCGACAATGTAGTAATATTGGACAAAGAGAAATCTTGGAAAAAACGGTACACTCTCGAAAGCTTAAGAATTCAAGAGAAAATTAACTTAACTATGAACATCAAAGAAGATACGGAGAATATAAGCTCTAATTACATTGCTGCTCTAATATAAACAAAATCGAAAGTGGCGGTAACTTGAAGCAGTTGACTATATTTCTATAATTTTATAAAACTTTTAATATTTATTCCTAACTTTTAATTTTTTATTTACAAAAAGTGATTTAACTTAATTTCAATTCTATTGGTAATTATTATTATTTAACAATTCTAAAATCCTGAATGGATAATTATTACTTTTGATTGTTTTGTTATTATTGTTGTTGTTAGTTATTTTGTGTACATGTTTCTCTGTTTATACAATATCACAAATTATATTATAGATATAATTTCACATTGTGTTTTGAAATCATAATTATTAAATAAAAAATATTTTAGATACCCCTGAAGATGTTGGAAAATAACCAACGAAACGTCGGGTGAAAAATGAAATAAATTGAGTTTTATTTGCATCCTAATAATAAGACCAGAGTAGCCTAAAGAAAAAATTTTAACTAAAACAATAAAAACGTACTGGTCAAAAACTCCATTATTAATAGTATTGCTCTGTTTATTCATAATTTTCACCACAATTTCGAAACTTTCGCGCTTTTCTTCTGCATTAAGTAATTCTTCTAATTGAATGATTTTGTTTAATAAAGCGGTTAGAACCGCGCAAATTATAGGATTTAAGAATAGAAAGATAAAACTTCGGTTTTGAAATAACTTTTATTCTTGTTGAGTTCAATCTTAAGACTAACTTAAACCTAGTTTTGTTCGTCCTTTTATAATATCGATTTGGCACAGCAAATCGTGATAATAAATTATAATTATTTACCTAGGACTATTTTAGTTTAGTTATCATTATATTTGTGTTGAGATAACTAAACTAAATACTTTTACAAAATTAAATATACTTATTATTACATTTTAGAGACTGTTCTAATGAGTCGTTGTCTGTGTTATTAAGGTGATGGTACATAACTCGCGTGTTGCCTCCTTTTGAAATATCTCTTTGCGGGGACCACCACTATTCAGATAAGGTTACAACACATGCATACCTCAAAAATCATAAGTTTCACATATTAATATACAAATACCTATATACTCATAAAAGAAAAATAAACCTAATTATACCAAAACATCGTAATAAATATCTCATACATAAATCTAAGTTTAATGTTCTAAATACCCTAGAACTTTTGTGATATAACAAAAGTATCAAAAACCCAATAATGTGATGGCTCCTCATCGCCCCAACTTAAAAATTAACCTACTACAACTACCTATTGCAATGCAGTAATCATGCATACATAATTTTATAAAATTCTACAATATCTTAAACTAGTCTTAAACTAATCGGCACATATCTATTGCTAGATAAACCAACCACACCAACCTTGCAATTATAAATAATTGTCAAAATTAATCAGGTTTGTTCATCTTCAATATCTAATAAGCAGAATCCACTGCTATCCTAGGCCTTAAAATACATAAATCTTTTACTGCCCCATTAATACAAACAACTCCATCAAATGTTCAATAATGGGTACTCTACCTACCTCACCATAATCTGGAGTAGTTTGCCTAACTACTCCTAAGCGTTTCATCTATTCTGTTCTAATTTGGTAAATAATTATCAGAATTTAATGAAATAGAAAAATAAAAATTAATTATAAAGAAAAACAGAAGTATATTAAAGTAGTTACATTAAAACGATCAACAATTAAAAAAAAACATATTTAACTAAAAATAATAACACAAAGTTAGTTTTGTCTTTGCAGACAAAGACTTTTATCCTTATCTCCCAGTGGAGCATAGGACCTCTACCATATTTTTATATCGGATTCGGTTATGTGATTCGACATAAATCACTGGAGGAATAGTTCGCTTCTCTTAATTCTTCTTCAACTGTTCTTCTCCAAGTTTTAACTGGTGCTCCAGGTCTGCGGCTGCCTTGAGGATTCCAAACAAGTAGATATGCTTAAAGACAATTATTTACTTTTTACATGCTATATGTTTTTAATGCTTATATGTAAACAATTTTGTTGTATAATTATACATTAATAAATACATGCCATTGAAAACACATTCCATTTAAACATCTATTTTGTAGATTACTTGACATTTATAATCAGTAAGATTCATATTCAATTTTTATTTGCTGGTATAGGATAAAGAACTACAAGAAATATAAAAACCATTTTTATAACGATTTTTTTTTTTGTATATAATAGTTTTAAATACAATTTGATTGAAATTAATATTTTAAATAAAATTTCAAAAAAAAATTGGAAAAATTATTCACATAAAGTCAATGTTTTTATTATAAATTGTTTTTTATAATTTTATTTCTTTATCAGGGTGAATGCTTTTCAATTTCTATATAAAAATATGAGAAAAATATTGGCAAAATTCATTATCTAATTTTTTAATATAATCAACAAAGGCCTTTGGTGGATGCACTAATTGCAATCTTTAAATTTTTCGTCAAGCGTGAAGAAATAATCACTTGAAATTATATTAACTAATGAAAAGTATGCTTGGCAATTGTGCAAATTAAATATTTAATAGTACATCCATCCACAAACTTAAGTGAAGAGAATTGTTTTTAAAAATACTTTTTTCCTTATGTTTATGTTGGCATCAAAATCAAAATTTTGAAGGAAGGAATGCATTGGTAAACCTGATCTTTGAGGATCCTGCCAACAAATATTTATAACCAATGCACATCATTACAGACACTTGCCATACTATTGAACAAATCAGTTGAGTTATTTATATTATATGTCCATCAACAAAAGACGGACAATCAAACTTAAACAACTGTTTGCAATTTCCCCTTTCACCGCCTATACAAATAGGGAAATACTGGACGCTCAGTCATGCAGGTTTGTATCTCCTTATATAACACATAAGGGATAAGTCTACCATCACCCTTATGAAGACGGCATAATAGATGCGATAATAAGCGGAAATGTGCACCTAATCTACGCACCAACTGGACATAATTCCCAGTATATTTAACGCAATATCGTGTGACAATGTAAGTGTTCAGCCAATGAGTAACCTTGGTTACACAATTGCGACGGTAGAAGCTTTTCTCTTATTTATTTTTATTTTATTTAATGAAGTGCTATGAGGGACACCCGTTCAATGCACTATCTTACATGCTAACTTACAAACTAACAAATAAAATTGAATATGCTAATTATTTTTTGCTTAAAAATTAGTTTAATTAATAAATTAAAATATAATTTTAATAACAATGAAATTATAAAAGAGAAAAAGAATGCAATTATAAATGAAATCAAAATAAAAGACAAAACGAACAATAACAAAAAAAGAAAATATTAAAAAGCCAAAAATAATATTTATGATAAGCAGAAAATTAATCAAAATTAGAAAAAATAATAAAACATAATTAATTAATATAAGATTGTAATAATAAGCTAAGACAGTTCCTGAGAAACTAACTTCTTGAAGAAAACTAAGTTGTTTGCGTTTCTGGTGTCGCTAGATAACGAATTCCAGAGTCTTACCGCATTTATGAAAAAGAAACTAGTCACAGAAAAGTGGTTGAACCTTGGGATTAAATATTGAATAGATCTGATTGAATGCAATTTACATAGATTATTAAAAAGCTACCCATGAATTTGGGGCATAGCAATTTTAAAAAAAAATATACAAACATATTTATTAATATTGTTGTGATTATTCCAACACTATTTACGTGGTCGTTCGCGATCATTGGATCCTGATAAGTAATTTATGTTCAACTTGAATTTCTGTATAACCGTTTATAATCTTCTATATTTTGTGAAACACACACACTATTATTTTTAATAACAACAATATTTCAAAAACTTGTTTTCTAACTAACTGACATTATTATAAATTATCACAGTTTACTTAAATTGTGTTATATCTGCGCCCAGAATACAAGTGTACACTTTCGAGTTTAATCACAAACTAAACTTTAGCAAAAATACTGGTATACAATATAAAAGACAGAGTTACCATGTCTTAATACTTC